CCAGTGGCCACTGCCATCAGTGTCCCATGTCCCCAAGGTGCCACCGACCCCTGTCGCATGTCCCTGAGGGTGTCCCCCTGTCCCCAAGGTGCCACTGACCCCTGTCCAATGCCCCCAAGGTGTCCCAAGGGTGTCACCCACCTGTGTGCCAGTGTCCCTGAGGGTGTCCCCGTGTCCCCAAGGGTGTCACCAACCCCAGTCTCATGTCCCTGAGGGTGTCCCCGTGTCCCCAAGGATCACTGCCATCGGTGTCCCGTGTCCCCAGCGTGTCACCCACCCCTGTCCCAGTGTCCCCAAGCCGTCCCCCCCTGATGTCCCCCTGTCCCCGCAGGTCCCCGAGCGCCGTCGCCGTCACCGCCTCAGCCGCTGTCACCTCCTGTGCCGCCACTGTCCCCGCCCCCGGCGTCCCGGAGCCGCCGCCTCCCGCCGGTGACGTTGCCGCGGCGGCGCCCGAAGGCTCCGCCCCCTCGGGAGCCACGCCCACGGCCGCCATCTTGGTGCCCCGGCAGCGCAAGCGGCGCCGCTCTTCCTCCTCCTCCTCCTCCTCGTCCTCGTCCTCGTCCTCCTCTTCCTCCTCCTCCTCCAGCTCCTCCTCCTCCTCCTCCTCGTCCTCCTCGTCCTCTTCCTCCTCCTCGTCCTCCTCCTCTTCCTCCTCCTCCTCTTCTTCCTCCTCCTCCTCCTCCTCCTCTTCCGGGGAGGCCCCGCCCACAGCCCCGGCTGAGCCCGCCCCTCCCCCCGCCACCACCGACCCCACCCCCCCGGCAGGCCCCGCCCCCTCCGCGCCCACCCCGGCCACGCCCACAGCCACCGCGGCCACGCCCACCCCGGCCGCGCCCTCGGTGCCCGCGTCCCAGGCGGCCACGCCCACTTCCACGGCGGCCACGCCCCACCACCGCGGCGGCCACGCCCACCGCGGCCACGCCCTTGCTGTCGCTCAAACCCGCGGCCGTGGGCGGGGCCACGGCGTTGCCCCGCCCGCCCGGCTCGCTGCTGTCGCTCGCGCCGGGCGGGGGGCGTGGCTTGCGCCCTTCGCCCCGCCCTCCCGGCTCTCTGCTCTCATTGGCCGCAGCCGGAGGGGCGTGGCCGGGCGGGGCGGAGGCCCCTTCCCGCTATTGGCTGCCCGCAGCCCAGGCTCCGCCTCCTTCCAGCGGGCGGCCACGCCCTTTTTGGCCACGCCCACGCGCGGGGGGTGGAGCCCCCGCTCCCCCTCCTCCCCCTTCCTCCGGGGGGGCGTGGCCGGGGGGGCGTGGCCTCGGCTGGGCGGGGGCGGTTCCTGCCTGCACCGTTTCCACGGCAACCTCGGGGGGGCGGGGCTGGGCTGCTCGGCCCGCTTGGGGGGCGGGGCTTGCATGCACCGTTTCCACGGCAGCATGGGCGTGGCCTCGGCGGCGGCGGCGGCCAATCGCGTGAGCCCCTGCGGCCACCGCGGCTGCTGCTACCACGGCAGGGGCGGGGCCTCGCTGGGAGGGGGCGGGGCCGCGCCCAGGAGCCCCTCCCCTTTCGCCATGACGCCCAGCATGGCCGCCCGCATGGCCCAGTACTCCCAGTACGGCGCCGGCGCCTCCCAGTACGGCTCCAGCTCATCCCAGTACGGAACCGGTTCGTCCCAGTACGGCACCAGCTCCTCCCAGTATAGCCCCGCCTCCTCCCAGTACAGCCCCGCCTCCTCCCAGTACAGCCCCGCCTCCTCGCAGCTGAGCTCCCAGTACTCCCAGTACTCCCAGTACGCCCAGCTGGCCTCCCAGTACTCCCAGTACGCCCAGTACAGCAGCGCCACCGAGGGCTCCCAGTACGGCGCCGGCGACGCCTCCCAGTACGCCCAGTACGCCGCCAGCGCCGCCCAGTACGCGGCCGCGGCCAATAGCGGCGCGGGGGGCGTGGCCGGCGAGGCCTCCCAGTACGCGGCGGCAACCGGGAACCAGTACGGGCCGGGGGCGGGGCCCAGAGCGCGGCGGGGGGCGGGGGCCGCGGCAGGAGGGGGCGGGGCCGCGGCGGGAGGGGGGCGGGGCCGCGTGGGCGGGGGAGGGCGGGGCGCAGGAAGGGTGGGCGGGGAGCGGGGGGAGGGGTGAGCTGGGGGAATTGGGTGTCGCCCGCTCAGTGAAAAAAAAGCGGAGTTTTGGGTTTTTCTGGGGGTGTTTCGACCCAAAATTCGGAAGGTTCGGACCCAAAATTGGGGCCCCCCCCCCTCCCCCACGCGGTGGTTTGGGGGTTCAGGATGGAAGTTTGGGGGTTGGGGGGAAAAAAATTGGGGGGTTCCGGGTGGAAATTTGGGGTTTTTAGCACCAAATGCGTGCGAGAGGAGCCGCGCGAGGGGCGTGGCTAAAGGGTGAAGCCCCGCCCCCTCCTGGTCCGGAGGCGGAGTCAGCGTCGGCGCTTCCCGGCTGGGCCCCGCCCCCTGCACGCGATTGGCGGAGGTGAGAGCCGGGGGCGGGGCTCTGGGGAAAGGGGCGGGGCTACGGGGGGTGGGGTGTGATGGGGATTGGAGGGGGGAAATTCCCGATTGTGGGGTAAAAATTCACATTTTTGGGGTAAAAATTCACATTTTTGGGGGTGGGTTTGGGAGTTAAAAATGCCCAGTTTTGGGGGGGATTTTAAGGTGGAAATTCCCAGCTTTGGGGTGGATTTTGGGGTAAAAATTCACATTTTTGGGGGTAGATTTTGGGGCAAAAAAATCCCAATTTTGGGGTGGATTTAAGGTGGAAATTCCCAGTTTTGGGTGGATTTGGGGGTAAAAATTCCCAATTTTAGGGGCAGAAATTCCCATCTTTGGGGTGGATTTTAAGGTGGAAATTCCGGGTTTCGGGTGGATTTTGGGGTAAAAATTTCCAATTTTAGGGGCAGAAATTCCCATTTTTGGAGTGGATTTTAAGGTGGAAATTCCCATTTTTGGGGTGGATTTTAAGGTGGAAATTCCCGGGTTTCAGGTGGATTTGGGGGTAAAAATTCCCAATTTTAGGTTCAAAACTTCCCAATTTTGGGGTGGATTTTAAGGCGGAAATTCCCAGGTTTTGCCTGGATTTTAGGGCAAAAATTCCCAATTTTGGGGCAAAAAAATCCCAATTTTGGGGTGGATTTTAAGGTGGAAATTCCCAGTTTTGGGTGGATTTGGGGGTAAAAATTCCCAATTTTAGGTTGAAAACTTCCCAGTTTTGGGGTGGATTTTAAGGTGGAAATTGCAAGTTTTGGGGTGGATTTTGGGGATTAAATTCCCGTTTTTGGGGTGGATTTTAAAGCAGAAATTCCCAATTTTAGGGTAAAAAATTCCCATTTTTGGGGCGGATTTTAAGGTAGAAATCCCGTTTTTTGGGGTTAAAAATTTCCCAGTTTTCGGGTGGATTTTAATGTGGAGTTTCGGGTGAAAATCTTCCGTTTGGGGCTGAAAATTCCTGGTTTTGGTGGTAAATTTTGGGCTGAAAATTTGCAATATTTGGATGAATTTAAGGTTAAAAATCCGTATTTTTGGAGTGGATTCGGGGGTGAAAATTCCCAATTTTGGGGTGGATTTAAAGAGTAAAAATTCCCAGTTTTGGGGTAAAAATTTGCATTATTGGGGTGGAATTTTGGGTCAAAAATTCCCAGTTTTGTGGTGGATTTTGGGGTTAAAATCTAGAGTTTGGGATGGATTTTGGGAGTTCAGAAGAATCCTAGTTTTGGGTTAAAAAATCCCAGTTTCAGGTTAAAAAATCCCTATTTTTGGGTGGGTTTTGGAATAAAAATTCCAGTTTTGGGGGTGGATTTTAAGGTGGAAATTCCTGGGTTTGCAGTTTAAAATTCACGTTTTTGGGGGTGGATTTTAAGGTGGAAATGCTGAATTTTGGGGTGAAAATTCAAAAATTTGGGGTAGATTTTTGGGCGAAAATTCCATTTTTGGTGTGAGTTTTGGGGTTGAAATTTCCCATTTTTAGGGGTCGATTTTGGGGTTGAAATTTCCCATTTTTGGGGTGGATTTTGGGTTGAACATCTGTAGTTTTTGGGGTAGATTTTGGGGTGAAATTTCCCATTTTTGGGGTGGATTTTGGGGCGAAATTTCCCATTTTTGGGGCGGATTTTGGATTGAACATCTGTAATTTTTCGGGCGAAAATTCCCATTTTTGGTGTGAGTTTTGGGGTTAAAATTTCCCATTTTTAGGGGTGGATTTTGGGGTGAAATTTCCCCTTTTTGGTGTGAATTTTGGGGTGAAATTTCCCATTTTTGGTGTGAGTTTTGGAGTTAAAATTTCCCATTTTTAGGGGTGGATTTTGGGGTGAAATTTCCCATTTTTGGGATGGATTTTGGGTTGAATATCTGTAGTTTTTGGGGCGAAAATTCCCGTTTTTAGGGTGGATTTTGGGTTGAATTTTTCCATTTTTGGTGTGAGTTTTGGGGTTGAATTTTCCCCATTTTTAGGGGTGGATTTTGGGGTGAAATTTCCCATTTTTGGGGGTGTCCGGGCCCTGACCTGTGCCCATTGCAGGTGGCACCGGGGGGTGACCGCGGTGGCCTCGTGCGGGGTGAGCAATTTTGGGGTTAAAATGTGGAATTTTGGGGGCAGAATTTGGTGTTAAAATTCCCTTTTTAAGGGGGGAAATGTGGGGGAAAATTCCCATTTTGGGGTGAAAATTTGGTGTAAAAAATTCCCATTTTGGGGGTGGATTTTGGGATAAAAATTCCCGTTTTGGGGTGAAAGTTTCCCGTTTCAGGGGTGCAAATTTGGGGTAAAAATTCCCGTTTTGGGGTGAAAATTTGGTGTAAAAAGTTCCCATTTTGGGGGGGGAATTTGGGAGTAAAGCATTCCTGTTTTAGGGCTGGAAATTTGGGGTAAAAATTTCCCATTTTGGGGGTGGAAATTTGGGGTAAAAATTCCCATTTTGGGGTGGAAATTTGGGAGTAAAAAATTCCTGTTTTGGGGGGGAAATTTGTGGCGAAATAATTCCCATTTTGGAGTTGGAATTTTAGGTAAAAATTCCCATTTTAGGGTTAAAAATCCCCATTTTGGGCGGGAAATTTGGGGTAAAAAAATTCCCATTTTGGGGGGAAATTTTGGGGGAAAAATTCCCATTTTGGGGATGGATTTTAGGGTGAAAAATTCCTTTTTTGGGGTAAAAATTCCCATTTTTGCAGCAGGTTGCTGGGTGGAATTTGGGGTAAAATTGCTCAATTTAAGGGGTGGCTTTTGGGGTAAAAATTCCTATTTTGGGGCTGGAATTTGGGGTGAAAATGTCCCATTTGGGGGTGGAATTTTGGGTGAAAAATGCCCAATTTGGGGGTTGGATTTTGGGGTGAAAACCACCAATTTTTGGGGCATAATTTGGGGTAGAAATGTTGGATTTTGGGGTCGTTTTTAGGATGAAAATGCCCAGTTTGGGGGTTGTTTTTAGGGTGAAAACGCTCAGTTTGCAGGTGGATTTTGGGATGGAAACGCCCGCTCTGAGGGCGGATTTTAGGGTAAAAATGTCGAATTTTGGGGGGGAAAAATGTCTGGTTTTGGGGTGGGTTTTGGGGTGAAAATGCTGAATTTGGGGGTGGATTTTGGAGGTGAAAATTCCCAATTTCAGGGTGGATTTCAGGCTGGATTTGCCCATTTTGGGGGTGGGTTTTGGGGTGAATTTTGCCATCTTTGGGGGTGGAATTTGGGCTGAAATCTCTCCGTTTTGGGGCTGGATTTTGGGGTGACTTTGCCCAGTTTGGGGGTGGAATTTGGGGGTGAGAACTCTTGAATTTTGGGGGTGGAAATTTGGGCTGAAATCTCCGAATTTTGGGGTTCGTTTTACGCTGAAAACTCCGATTTTGGGGGTTGGATTTTGGGGTTCCAAGGCTCAGCTTCGGGGGGGGGAGGGGGAAATTTTGGGGCAAATTTGGGGGATTTTGGGGCAGATTTGGGGGATTTTGGGGGCACATTTGGGGGATTTTGGGGCAGATGTGAGGGATTTTGGGGCACATTTGAGGGATTTTGGGGCAAATTTGGGGAATTTTGGGGCACATTGGGGGGATTTTGGGTCTGGGCTCTTTGACCTTTGCCCCATTGCAGGATTTGGGGTGGGGTCACTCTGGGGTCACTCCGGGGTCACGCTGGGGTCACTCCGGGGTCACGCTGGGGTCACTCCGTGGGTCCCCATGTGGGGTCACCGCGGGGGGGTCACTCCTCAGGTCACGGCGGGGTCACGGCGGGGTCACCGCTGGGGCCGGCCCCTCCCCCCACCCACCCAGGCCGGCGCTCCAGGGACCCTCGGGTACGTGCGGGGAGGGGCCCAAAGAGACCCCCCCCCCCAAAAAAAACGGCTCCGGGACCCCCCCCCCCACCAAAATTGGGGGGGTCAGTTTTGGGGAGGGGTCAAATTTGGGGGGGGAGGGTCACAACCCCCGACCCCCCCCCCCCTTTTCCCCTCCCGGCCGCTGGGGGGCGCCGCGGCCCCGCCCCCCTCACCCCTCTCTTCTCTTACAGCTCCGCCCCCCGAAGCTCCGCCCCCTGACTTCAGGCCCTGCCCCCTTTTAAGCCCTCCCCTTTTATCTGCAAGCTCCGCCCCTTTTCCTGTCCAAGCTGCGCCTGGTTTTTCCCCTGGCCACGCCCCCTTGCTTTGACCCCGCCCCCTCCTGTTCGAGCCCCGCCCCTTTTCCTCCAGCCTCCGCTCCTTTCTTTCCAAGCTCCGCCCATTTTATCTGCAAGCCCCGCCCCCTTTTTTGTTCCGTTTCCTGTTTTACATTAAAACGGCCCAAAATGGAGTGGGCGTGGTCTCTGCTTGGGGGCGTGGTCTGCAATTGGGGCAGGCCTTGGGGAGGGGCGGGGCTTGGGTTGGTCCATTTTGGGGATTGGGGGGGATGGGAAGATCCCAAAAAAGCCAAAAATTCATCAAAGAAACGTCGAAATTCCCCCCAGGACCCCAAAATTCCCCCTCAAAAAACACCAAATGTTTCCTTGGGACCCCCCAAATTCCCCTCCAGGACCCCCAAAATCTCCCCCAAAACCCCAAAATTCCCACGAAGCCCCCAAATCTTTCTGTGGAACCCCCAAATTCTCTTTCATTACCCCAAAAATTCTCCCCAGAACCCTGAAATTCCCTTGGTACCCCCAAAATCCCCCAAATTCCCTTTCTTGACCCCAAAATTCCTTCTCTAAACCCCCCCAGGACCCCCAAAATCCCCCCAAGAACCCCAAATATTCTCTTGGGACCTCAAAATTCCCTTTCTTGACCCCAAATTTCGCCCCCAGGACCCCTAAAATTTACCCCAAAATTCCTTGGGATCCCCAAAATCCCCAAATTCCCTTTCTTGACCCCCAAAATTTCCTCCCAGCGCCCCTAAAAAATCTCCAAATTCCCTCTCCCAAATCCCCTCGGGATACCAAAATCTTCCCCAAAATTGACTTTAAACTTTCGGACGTTGCCAGGGAATTTTTTTATTGGAATTTTTCATTGGAATTTTTGATTTCTCCCCCGCCCCTCCCCCCCCCCCCCCCCCCGAACCCCAAAATCTCCGGGTTTGAGCCCAAAGGGGCCCTCAGGGCAGGGGGGGGGTCGGTGGTGGCCCCGGTGCTGTCCTGGGGCTTCATCACATCCGGCAGCTCCGGGGGGCTCGAGAAGGGCTCGATGCGCAGCCCCTCGAAGGACTCCTCTGGAAATCGGGCGGGAAAGGGTTAAAGTCAAAATCCCAAAAAAAAAACCCCAAAAAAATCCGACCCAGGACACCCCAAAAACCCCAAAAATCTGACCCAAAATAGCCAAAAAAATCCCCATTTTTTCCCCCCAAAATCCCCTTCATTCACCCCAAACCCCATTTATTGACCCCAACCCTCTCAAGGACCCCCCCCACATGCCCCATAATCCACTCCAGGGCCCCCCAAAACCCCCATTTTCACCCCAAAATCCCCTTTTTTCAACCCCTAAACCCCCATTTTTCCCTCCCAACCCCCCCAGGGACCCTTCAAACCTCTCCCAAATCCCCATCTTTGCCCCCAAAATTCCCATTTTTTCCCCCCAAAACCCCCTTTTCTCCCCCAAAATCTCAATTTTTCCGCCAGAATCCCTGTTTTTCCCCATTTTTCCCCATTTTCCCCCATTTTCCCCATTTTCCCCATTTCCCCCATTTTCCCCATTTTCCCCATTTCCCCCTTTTCCTCCCATTTTCCCCCATTTTTCCCCCATTTTCCCCCATTTCCCCCATTTTCCCCCATTTTCCCCCATTTTTCCCCATTTTCCCCCATTTCCCCCCATTTTTCCCCATTTCCCCCCCCATTTTCCCCCCATTTTTCCCCACTTCCCCCCATTTTTCCCTATTTTTCCCCATTTCTCCCATTTCCCCCATTTTCCCCCCATTTTCCCCCATTTTTCCCCATTTTCCCCCATTTTCCCCCCATTTTCCCCCCATTTTCCCCATTTTCCCCCTTTTTCCCCCATTTTCTCCCATTTTCCCCCCCATTTTTCCCCATTTTCCCCCTTTTTTCCCCCATTTTTCCCCATTTTTCCCCATTTTCCCCCATTTTTCCCACCCCCGTTGCGCAGGGCCAGCCCCACGGTGGCCGGCGCCTGTGGCCGCGCCGTCTGGCTCGTGAAGCCGCAGTCGCCCAAAGTCTTGGAGTCCTCCAGCAGCTGGTCGTCCTGGAAAGGGTTAAAAACACGGGAATTACCCCAAAATAGCACCAAAAGTATCCCCAAAATATCCCCTGAAATTACCCCCAAATATCACCAAAAGTGTCCCCAAAATATCCCAAAAATATCCCCTGAAATTACCCCAAATTACCCCAAAATATCACCTGAAATATGCCCAAAATATCCCCAAAATATCCCCTGAAATTACCCCCAAATTACCCCAAAATATCACCTGAAATATGCCCAAAATATCCCCAAAATATCCCCTGAAATTACCCCCAAATATCACCAAAAGTGTCCCCAAAATATCCCAAAAATATCCCCTGAAATTACCCCAAATTACCCCAAAATATCACCTGAAATATGCCCAAAATATCCCAAAAATATCCCCTGAAATTACCCCAAATTACCCCAAAATATCACAAAAATATCCCCTGGAATTACCCCAAATGACCTCAAAATATCGCTGGAATAATCCTAAAATATCCCCAAAATATCCCTTAAATTACCCCAAATTACCCCAAAATATCCCCCCAAAATATCCCCTGAAATTACCCCAAATGACCCCAAAATATCACCTGAAATATGCCCAAAATAGCCCCAAAATATCACTGGGATTATCCCGAAATATCACCTGAAATATGCCCAAAATTACCCCAAAATATCACCTGAAATATGCCCAAAATATCCCCTGAAATTACCCCCAAATGACCTCAAATATCGCTGGAATTATCCCAAAATATCCCCTGAAATAACCCCAAAATATCCCCTGAAATTATCCCTAAATATTCCTCAAATTATCCCAAAAGTATCCCCCAAAATATCCCCTGAACTTACCCCAAAATTACCCCTAAAAACCCCAAAATCCCCCTAAAAATCCCCAAAAATTTTCCCTAAAACCCCCAAATACTCCAAATTCCCCCCTCAAACCCCACAGAAAACCCCCTCAAAATTCCCCTTAAAACTCCCTCAAATTCCCTCAAAATTTCCCCTAAAAACCCCAAAATTTCCCCTAAAACCCCCAAATTTCCCTAAAATACCCCAAACCCCAAAAATTTCCCCTAAAACCCCCAAATTTCCCCTAAAATCCCCCAAACCCCAAAAATTTCCCCTAAAAACCCCCAAAACCCCCGAAAATCCCCCCTAAAACCTCCCCAATTCTCCCTCACACCCCCCTCTAAAACTCCCCTCAAACTCCCCCAATTCAACCCAAAAAATCCCCCCAAAACCCCCCTAAAACCCCCAAATTTTCCCTAAAACCCCCAAATTTCCCTAAAACCCCCCAAATTTCCCCTAAACTCCCCCAAACCCCAAAAATTTCCCCTAAAAACCCCAAAACCCCCTCAACTCCCCCTAAAACCTCCCCATTTCTCCTCACATCCCCCCACTAAAACTCCCCTAAAACCTCCCCAATTCTCCCCCAAAAATCCCCCCAAAACCCCCCGAAAAGCCCCAAAATTTCCCTAAAATGCCCAAAATCCCCCCCAAAACCCCAAAATTTCTCCTAAACCCCCCAATTTCCCCATGAACCCCTCAGTGCCCGCCTTGTAGAGCCGCTGCTCCTCGGGCGGCCGGTGCAGGATTCCCTGCACGATTCTCTTCAGCTCCAGCACGGTCGAGGATTCCTTGGCCTCGGTGAAAATCGTGGTTTTGTGCCGCCGGATCATCAGGAACACGTCCTGGAGGCGGAAAAATTGCGATTTTAAAAAATTTTATTCCATTTTTGAGCGTTTTTATTCCATGTTTAAGGGGTTTTTAATTCCATTTTAGGCCGTGGCTCCTGAGGGAGTGGGCGTGGTTAAGCTTAAGGGGGCGTGGCTTGTTAAAACAGGAGGTGGCCGCCACATAAAATAAGGCGGAGTTTGCCTTTCAAGGGCATAACTAATTAATAAAGGGTGTAATTAAAGCAGAAAGGGGCGTGGTTATGAAAACTTAAACGTTATTTGCATAAAAATAATAAAAGTTTATGACCATTAATGGGCGTGGTTTGAGTGAGGGGAGGTGGGCGTGGCCTCGCTGAGGGGGCGCGCGGAGTGGGCGTGGCCTCGCTGAGGGGAGCCGCCCGCGCTCCCTTATGCAGGGGGTGGGGGGGGAAGCGGATTTGAGGCGAAATTTCGGCATTTCGGGCAATTCCTTCGCGCTTCACCCGATCCCGCCGAGATCCCAAATTGACCAAAAAGCTCCGGAACGGCCCCAAAACCTCCGCGGAGCCGCCTCCCTCCCCGGGGGCTCCCTCTCACCATGGCGGCCGCTCCGCCGGCTCCGTCTGCGCCGGGTCCGCCGCGATCCCAGCGGCCCCCGCGGCATCCGCGCACCCACACAGAGGAGCGCGAAATCTCGCGAGAGCCGCCGCCATCTTGAGAAGGGCTGAGGGGGACGGTGAGGAGGGCGCCGCCATTTTGAAAAGGAAAAAATGGCGGGGTGGGATTTTGGGGGGTTTTGAGGCAATCTTGGGGGGGATTTTGGGGGTTAAACAGTGCGGCCGTATGGATTTAGGGGTATTAAATACACTCTGAGGAGGAATTGTGCTGTCGGCTTAATTTTTTGGGTGAAATTCGAGGAGGGGGATTTTGGGGGTCTCCCCCACCGTCACGGGATGAATTTTGGTGGGGGGGGGATTTTCACCCTCCCCTCCTCCACAGTTGATTCCCACCCCCTCCCCCCCCCCACTCTCGATTTTAAGGGCGTCACCCCCAAAATGTTGGGGGGGCCCCTCCCCCCCCGCGTGGGCGAACCCGTCGGACGGCGTCGGGTGGGGGGAGGGGCGTGACCCCGCCCCTCCCCCAACCCGATTTAAGGGGGTGCGGGGGGTGGGGGAGGGGCGGGCGCCGCCATGGGGACCCCGCGGGCGCTGCTGCCCCTCCCCCCCCCCCTCCTGCTGATAATGGTGCTGGCCGCCCTCGCCTGTGACGTCATCAGGCCCGGGACCCCCCCCCAGGTGAGACCCCGAAGGTGGGGGGGGGGGGGGAGGGGGGAATCCCCTGCCCCTCCCCCACCCGTGGGAGAGAAAATTTTGGGGATTTTTGGGGTTCCCGGGTGGAAATTTGGGGGTTTTGGGTGGAAATTTTGGGGGGTTTCCCCCCAAATTTGGGGTTTAAAATTTGGGGTTCAGCAAATTTGGGAATTTTGGGGTCGAATTTGGGGGGGTTGGGGTGAAAATTTGGGAATTTTCGGGGTTCCC